ATATAATACAAAAATATAAAAACTGAAACAATTAGAAAACTCTGTAATTTACAATGTTTTTGGTTTGTTGGGTTCTACTAATTCTAGCAGTTTATAAGATTTTCCTTCTTCATCAAGATAAAATATTTTTATTTCATTAGGTCGAGGTCCTGGGTTCTCTATAAAAATTATATTAATTAACTACGACTTCATTAACAAAACTAATAAAAGAATTTACCATATTTAACTGAAACATATCCCTCCATTGCAGACATTTTTCAAAAAATTATATATGGCAAAAAACATTATTAATACCCACCTTTACATGACAAAAAATTGCTTATTTTTATACTGTTTATTCGTTAGATCTAAAAAACTTGCTAGAAAAAAAATTACACAATTAGTAATTACGTTACCCTAACACAGTGCTAGACAACACTTAATAAGTAACTCTGCTAGTCATAAGTTCCAAACACTGTGCCGATTTTGTTATTTTTTCTGGTAAAATTAACCTTCTTAGATTCGACGATCTCTTCTGCGAAGTAAAAAAATCAACGATCTTGACAATCTGAGAAATTTCAAGTCCCATAACATATGAATTTGGATAAAACTACTGATAAAGAACATTATACTCATTACCCTTATAGCCTTTTTAAGTCCTATTCATGATTTGTTCTTATCGTGGGATCATATAAAGTAAGAAAAGGGATCTAGACATTATTTGCTTTAGTAATAATTGTTAATAAAAAAATCAACCATGAGAATTAATTCTGCAAGAGAGTGATACAAGCCATATACCTAATTTCATATGACCGTTTGTTATTTCAACTCTACGTAGCAATAGTAATAAAAATAATTTAAACCCGAATATTGAGTGATTGCTATTTTAGCCTCAAACCAAAATAAAAAGTGGTCTCGCAGTAATAAATATATTTTTTTCCAGCATATAAAAATTAAATTAGCACTAAATAGTTGAATAGTGCACATATTTGTTTATGGGTATTGGTATATCCTATTTTTTGAATATCCACAGATCTTATTCTGAATTTGACAAATATTTATTATTGCTATTTTTATAGTAAAAAATTGAGAAATTGATGTTGACTGAACATTACCGAATCATCTGATAGAACATCGAAATAGCAGATATATATACAAATATTTATGGCTACTAACTGCCTCTTGAAAACAAACATACTGTTATAGAACAGTTTATTATTTTATTAGTTTATTATTCTGATATTGTATTTTATTATTTATTTTATTATTA